CAACAACAAAATCATCATCAACAGCAAGCTGCCACAACCACAACTACTGCTACCGCTACTGCTGCTGCTGCTGCTGTTGCTGCTTACTACTACTACTACTACTACGACGACGACGACGACTTCTGCTGCTGCTGCTACTACGACGACGACGACGACGACTTCTGCTGCTGCTGCTGCTGCTGCTGCTGCTCCTGCTACTGCTACTACTACTACTACTACTACTACGACGTCTACTTTTACTTCTACTCCTACCACTACCACTACCGCTTCCACTACCACTGCCACTACCGCTACTGCTGCTGCTACTACCGTTCAACAGAATCGTTGTGCGTCCATTAGTTGATACAACTCACTGTTGGCAGGAGGGTGGGTCCGAGATCGTCGCCATTCAGTGCCTTTTCCAGATGTAGCTTACATAGGTTGATACCAGGCATAGCAGGCTTCTCTGGTGCCTGGATCGTTTTAGATCGCGGGGGTTCTACAAGGGTTTATGAGGTTTCTAGACTGTGGGTCAATTACACTCGGAACCCACATTCTCTGAAAGCCCAATGGGAGCTACAGAGGGTATCGGGGACGATCGGGCCTCATTACTGTAAGCAGGGACACAGTACTCTAGGGATCAGGGCATGGCCCTTGTGAAGGTCCCCGAGACATATTGGCGATGGTGGCGTTACGTGGAAGGGGCATTTGCGTCGCCGATGTCAATCTCAGACCTACCTCAGCGCACCGCAAAGCTCTACAAAACCTTCAGCTTCTCTATCTTCAACCCTGCAACCATCTACAACCTAAGCCCAACCCTAAACCCTGAAGGTACTATCGGGATCGGAATATATACTGAGAGTACCCTTATAGTTAGACCCACAATTGCTGTTCTAACTATTATTCGTATGGCCCTTCAACATAGAATCGTTGCAGCGGCCCTTTGCGAAGCCTGTGGAGGTTTACCGGAACCCCTCAAGGAGCTCGCATATTCAGGGGACCCAGGCTGCGAGTGGGAAAAAGACAAAGCAACCACATTCCAGCACTATTATTCTTAGTATTAGTATTACTGGTAGTGATACTATTACTATTGGTATTGCTATCATTATTACTATCATGATTACCATTATCATTGCAAGAAGTTGTCAGGATTGTTGAAGGCGGGGCGGGTGCCGACACAAGTGTCAGAGACCAGGCTGGGCCTTTTGTCCGCCTGCAAAGCAGGCAGCACTCGAAGGCAGACAGAAAAACTCTGACCGGGGGTTCGATGGTGTCTTTTGAGGTGCCAATACCGGAAAGGAGAAGGAGAGCCTTGACATGGAGGTCGGGACTGTTGTGCAGCCAGAAACGGCAAAACATCCAGGACAGGTGGAAACGGGACCCCAGCAGGCCGCACCACGGGGACCCAGGGAGGCGAAGGGTAAAAGCCTTCACAGGGCAGTGCCAAGGTTTCCCGCATGATGGGACCAACAAACGCCGAAGGAGGTTTAATAGGGTCGAGGGCATGGACCGTGACCGTGGGTTGTTTCCTTTGTTCCGCTTGCTCCAACGACAGGGGGAAGGGGACCACATCACTGCTGACGAGAGATGCACGGAAGCTAGGAACAAAACCTTGACGGGGAAGTCGATGGTTTCTCTTCCACACAACCAGGCGAAAAAAACCAGCATGCACAGGGCTATGAAACAGACCCAAAACGACCATCAGGCTCTTTCTTCTCTTGTCTTATCGCTTTCGAACGGTTCGTGCATGCTGCTCTCGTATGGTTCGAGCCGTTCGCTTCTCCTTCTCAGATTCTCGAGTCCCTTTCGTTGGTTCGGTCCTTCGTCTCAGATTCTGCAGCGCTCTTTTTTGCTCAAGTCCCGTTCAAACGATTCGCCGTGTTTCTCAAATCCTCTAGTCTCTTTCTCAGATTCTCTAGTCCCTTTGGAACGCTTGGCGAGTTTTTCTCGGAGTCTCTAGGCCCTTTCGAACGGTTCGGTCCTCTTGCTGAAATTCTTTTTGGGCCCTTCGATCGGCCCGCTCCTTTTTCTGTTTTCTCAGATTCTCCGATCGCTTTCGAAGGTCGCGCTCCTTGTTGTCAGAGTCTGTAGTCCTTTTTCCTTCGTTTGTTCTCAGATTCTCTAGCCCCTTTTGAACGGTTCGCTTCGTGTCAGAGTCTCTAGTCCCTTTCAAAAGGTTTGCTCCTTTTTCTCACAGTCTCCATGTGGTTCCTTGCGAGCGGTTGGCTCCTCTTTCCTCAGGTTCTTTAGTCGTTTTCGAAGGAGTTCGATGGTGGAAAGGAGGGGCTGACGAGAGACGCCGGGAGTGGATATTTTGTCCATTGCGTGCACAGGAACGGAGGGGACAAGGAGTTCCCGAACGTAATGCTCGAAAGGTAACCCCAACAGGCCGCACAGGGACCCAGGAAGCCGGGAGAGAGAGAACTTTGACTGCAAAGGTTTTCCCCCACCGGCAAACGAACACTGGAGGAGGTCCGGGAGGACGGCCTTTTTACATCATGCAGGCGAGGCAGGTTGGAAAAAGGCCCAAAACGACAAGGAGCGAGGAAAGAGAGCACTCAGACAGGGAAGGCAGGCCGGAAAAAGACCCACAACGGTCATCAGGCAGGAAAGAGACCCGAAACAGGCGGAAGAAAAACTAAGCCGCGACATTTTCCTTAGGCCAAGAATCTCAAGGCTGAGGGTTTAGGCTGTTGCTGTTTTACGGTTCAGCGTTTAGGGGCATAGAGCTACGTAACATTTTTAAGGCTTCGGGGCTGAGTGGTCTTGGGTTTAGGAGTTTAGGCTAAAGTTTAGGCCAAATGTGGCCGAAATCCATAGACTATAGACCTTCCATTTGTTATTGAGGTTGCAACCCGAAACGGTGAAGCTTAACCGTAGATGAGCCCGTCGAGCTCTTCACTGTCTCCGAGGTGGACCAAGGATGAGCAAAACCACCCATCGTCCCTCACCGG